ACTGTTTTTAATTAGAATTATTTTCCCATTTATATATAATGTCATGTCTTTGTTTTGTGACTGACTTAATTTTTAAAATGTTAGATTAACAGAAAAATGATGAGCTACCACATGCGGTTTCCATGTACCTCACATTTAGTTTTCTATATTATTAACATTGTACATTGGTATGGCAATTTGTTACAATTAATAAGTGAATAGTGATACATCATTATAAAATAATGTTATATTCAGATTTCCTTAGCATTTACTTAATGTATTTTTCTGTCCGGGTAGCCCATGTTAAATTTACTTATTATATCTCCTTAGCCTCCTCTTGGTGGTTGGAATTTAGTCTTTCTGAAGTCCACTTCATTGTGTGAAATTCAACCATTTGAAATTCTAGCTAAAAGGTATTTTTTAAAAAAACTTAAGATGTATTCCAGGACTCTCTTATAGTCCCATCAGAATTCTGGAAGCTCTTCTCTACTTGTGAGCCTGTCAGCTGCTCTTGAGACATAAAACATCCACTGAGGTAGAAAGTAGTTCCAAATACTTTAGTCACCTCTGTCAATTCTGGACCTTCAAGTACTTGCCACTTTAGTAGCTCTCTGATATCTCTGGTAGATTTTCTTTAAAAAATATTTTTTTCCTGCATTTTTTTTTTTATACTGAGAATGTTATCTTCAACAAACTATTTTACCTTGACCATAATGGGTAAAGGCAATTAAAAAGCTTTTGCTCTGTGTTTCAAACTAGCTTTCCAGAAATGTATCAATTTGCATTCTTGCAAAAAGTTTATAGCAGTATGTGTCTTTAAACATCACAGCAATATCTATAAATAATAATATTGAAGCTTAAGAAAATAAAAAAGATTAGGATTCATTTCTTTATTAGTTTATTCAACACGTATTATTGAACTCTTACTGCATGGCTGACTTTCTGTCTCTTTCCTCTTACTTTCAGGAGGGTTCTAGACCCATCCTTCTCTCCAAAAACCTACAAGCTGCTAATAAGACATTATCTCAGAAAAAATGACATGTTTGTAATATTTCCTTAGAAGAATGGATGCCTATCTATATTACATTCACAAAACTAACCAGTTACCCTGGGGTCCATACTTGAATGAATATTATTTTCCCCAAGTCTAGTGGACTTCCCATTTGCTTCACTAAAAGCAGATAATGTACTGGCAACCTTCATCTTCAGTTGCAATATTTTCTTACTAAAACCCAAGAAGAACAAAAACCAAACCAAATCAACAACAACGAACATGCAAGTATATAAGAGAAGGAGGTCTATTTCAAATCTCCTGTGTATTTTGAATTACTCGAAGTTTAGTGGTCAATGTGGCTTTTTTTAAATTTAAATTTTTATTTTTTTTATTTTTTTTAGGAGGGTGGTAATGGAAGCAAATTTAACCACTTTCATTAAGCAAGGGTATAAAAAGATGTAGACTATTATGTCTTAACATTGTCTTCTCTGCATTTAACCCATAAATCATTTATTACTCATCTTTTAATGTAATATGTAGTAATTAAAAATTATTGATAAATTACTTTTGTGTGCTAGGTGATGTTCTAAGAGTTTTTGTTAATAGCAGCAATTGAAACAATTATAATTAAAATAAAAATATTAATAGTCACTGTCTATTTCTTGTACACCACATACAAGGCTCACATAGGCACTTTGCATTCATGGTCAAATCCTCACATCTGCCATGAGTTAGCTGTTCTCACTTTTTTTTTTTTTTTTAACTGATAAGGCAACTGTTACTTAGAGGAACTTTGGATCTCATTTGAGACACTAATATAATTTAAATTCTGATAGAAATGCAAATATCAAGTTATAACTAATTTGATTAAACAATAAATAAAACTATATGTTAATTACATGGTAAAATTTATGAGGCATTCTTGCCTTAGAAACTTTGTTTTAATTAGGCAGAGCTAAATAAATGACTAGTTCTCAATGATAGAAGGGGTTTGTTCTCAGCATGTGTAGACAAGAAATTTAATCTTATTTATTTATTTATTTATTTTTACTTAAGTATGCCAACTGGCATGTAGAAAGATCTTTATATATAAATCATTTATGTTTCTTGATTCATTTTTCCTCTATAACTTGGGATAATATCCTGTAATTTCATTAAATTGTGATTCACTGAGAATGAATTAAAAATATACAGAGGTAAAAACATAGTTCTTGCTTTTTAGAAACTTTTTTTCATAAAGCCATATTTTGTTTCTTAAAAATATATTTTGAAACAATTATTAAATAATCTACTAGGAAATAGCAATTATGTCCCCTTTCTAAATGAGAAAACTAAATTAAAGCACACTGGGATTAGGTAATTTGCCAACTTACTAAATGTAAGGTCTTCAAGAAAATTGTATCTAAAATAGAACTGGTTCTGTTAAATTTTATGTGTCATGTGTGAATTTATGAAGAAAAAATAAAAGAGTAAAGAAATGTGACTTCCTTGAAATTTGCATGTCATGATTTTGAGCTTTTATTTTGAAGCGATTAATAAAAACTATACTGACAAAAAGTGCTTGAAATACGTCTTCTTTTGCTCAATTTCAATCCGAGGTATTATCACTTAGTGGTAGCTCCTTTAAGGGAGTTCAAAAGTATTGTTTACAGTGTTCGATTCAATAGCAATATTTATTTTGGCTACCCAGCTTTTATGAAATACAGAAATATTTCCATGACTTTATTATATTTGAATTAACCATATAAGATTCCTGATAGCAAGCACTTACAATACCTTTTTTCCCCTTTTTATTTATAAATTGGTTTTCTCTGATTGTATTATTTGTGTTCATATACATAAAATGCAAACTATTTTACTTCTCAATATTTTACTTCTCATTATAGCCCTTTCCAGTTAACCAAAGCATCCCTGGCAGAGGGCCAGGATGACCTGCCACCCACATCTCTGATCCTGTCATGCCTCCTGCCCTATCTCGTTAATGTCTTTCTTCCAACTAGATAAGATTTAAACTCATTTTCCTGGTGTATCTTCTGCCTTCTGTCTCCAGCTCCATATTCTGTGACTTTCTTCTTCAAAACTGATGCTTAGCAAAGCTGGATAACCAGAATACATCCTTCTCTCTTGCTCCTCTTGTATTTGCAGATGCTTTTCTCTTGGTAATGTCAGCTCTCATCTCTCTTTCATCGGTCTCCATCCAGAACTACACTAGATCATGTCTACCTAGCTATTGCAATGCTTTGAAACTTTGGTTCCCTTTTAGATTGTAAGTTTCTGTTCATTTATTCAACAATAATGTATCAGTCATCCAATGTCAAACACTACGCTTAGGTATGGAGAGACTTGGGGTTTAAGATTAAAATGATGAATTAGAGAGAAAATTCCTGCTATAAAGGAACCCCCAATCTGATGGAGAAACAAATAATCGGTAAGTGTGGTGATACAGGTGTCTCTTGCTTCAAGTTGTTAATATTTTACATTAAATTGTCCTTGTTTAAATATTGGTATGGTTTCTATTCTCCTTTCAGATTTTGTCATGGCTTCTGTCTCCTTATTAGACCCTTCCCAATGTAACAGAGAAGGACAGGGGTTTTGGAAGCACATATAGGACTCTTTTTTTTTTTTTTTTTTTTTTTTGACAGATTCTCACTCTGTCACCAGGCACTAGGCTGGAGTGCAGTGGCACAATCTTGACTCACTGCAACCTCTGCCTCCTGGGTTCAAGCAATTCTCTTGCTTCAGCCTCCCAAGTAGCTGGGACTACAGGCGCACGCTGCCACACTCAGCTAATTTTTTGTATTAATAGTAGAGATGGGGTTTCACCATGTTGGCCAGGATGGTCTTGATCTCTTGATCTTGTGATCTGCCCACCTTGGCCTCCCAAAGTGCTGGGATTACAGGCTTGAGCCAACGCGCCTGGCCCCATATAGGACTCTTAATATGATAAATACGATACCTAATACAGAATGGGATTTCAGGGAAGCTTCTTAGTGGAGACTTCCCCAGATCAATAGAAACCATGATGTTTGGCATTGATGAATTGCTCATTCAATGAATAAACAAGAAAAATAATTTTATTATTCTTTTTCTACATACAAAAATCCTATAAAGTAGGTGGAGAAGGAATCGTTGTTCCCATTTTTCGAAGACAAATCAATCAGAGCAATTTGTCAAGGTCATTTGATAATTATATGGCAGTTCTTGGACCACAGTATATTTTTCTTTATGCCTAAGCAAGGCCTCTTTCCACTTTTTTCCAGACTGTTATAACCTGTACATATACATTGCAGGCGCTGAATGGTGGTGTGGTTTTTTATCTTCCATTTTTAAGAAACTGTAAAAAATCATTTTGACTCTTTAAGAATCTAGCCTAAGGTGTTCCTTTCATTTAACAGCAGTGAGGATGCACCCAAGGGCATCGCACCAGAGCTGGTTTTTCTGCCCTCAGATCCAACCTTGCCCCACTGCTTCTCTGCTTCATGTGGGAGCGGATGCTGGCTTCTGCAGGCTGGATTCTTCCATCGCCCATGCCAGCTGTCTTCCAGATGGGTTTATCTAATGGGAGATAATAGTGTAGATTACTAATTTAAAGAGAGGAATCAGAACACCTCTCACCAGTTCTATCTGTCTCAAGCAGCATCTCTGCTAGCAACTGATCCTCCCTTGACTCCAATTTCTGCCAAACAGGCTTATCAGGGTCCCAGGGTCTGCCAGGGAACCCTGTATGGACCCTGGACTCTAGGGATACTGCCTCTTCCATTTGTCCCTCTTTAGGGTTCCATGGCTGCTTGCTACTTACTGCTCATCTCTGGGTTAATTTACCATGAGTTATTCCATTAGCTGTGTAACCTAAATTCTCTCTACTAAAAGTAGTGATGATGCCTGTTTTCCTTGTGGGACTCTGAGTTTTTTTTTTTTTTTTTTTTTTTTTTAATGCTCTCACCTTTATTTCTCTCCATACACCCGTGATACAGATATTTCATACATAACAAGATGATCAAGGACATACGCATGTTCTACCTAAAAGAGAGGCAGAACCATGACTAAAACATCTAGCCCAGCAATCAACTCATTTCCCTGAGGAGTGGGTGTGGGGTGTGGGGGGGAGTCACAGGCAGTTCACCAACACCTGGGAAATCCTTGGCTTCATTGAGAATGAATGACTCTGGGGGGGATTCAGACAATGAAGTAGCCAGAAGAAGGCCTTTTTTTCCAGGGCTCTTGATTCTCAGTAGCAATAGTCAGTTGTGGGTTGCTGCCTTCTATTTCTTTGAGGAGCTTATCGAGTTCATCAGTAAAGTCATCTATTTTCAACCTGAGTGTCTGGAGGGTGCCATTTGCACGTGTCAAGGTTTCAAACAGCAACTTTACTCCACTATACCCCAAGGAATTCTCACCCAGGTCCAGAGTGATGAGGGTCTGGTTGCAGCTGAGGACACAGCAGAGGTTCTCACAACTGGCTGGAGGGATGGAACATCCCCACAACCACAGACGTTTCAAGTTACACAGTGGTTTCTTCAAAGCCTCACATAGGCCCCGCACTCCGGGAACTCCTATGTCATTCCGCCCCAGATCCAAGTTCCTTAGGCTTGATTTTTCGTGGAGAAGCTTTGCGAGGTGACAGCAGCCGTTGCTGGTTATGTCACAGTTCCACAGCATCAGGGTCTGTAGTTTACAGTCGGGGTCACTCAAGCCCTCACACAGAAACTTCACCCCTGTATCCCCGAGGGGGTTCTCGGCCAAGCACAGGTGCATCAGCTCCTGGCTGACAACCAAAATGACAGCCAGGTCCTTGCAATCGGCTTCTGTAAGGTGACAGTTTTCCAACGACAACCTCTGCAGGAGGCATTTGGGGTGTTTCAAAGTTGTGTACAGCAACTTGGCACCCTCATCCAGGAGCTCACTGTTGGAGACGTTCACGCACGTCAGGGACAGGTTGACTTCAAGGGTCAAGGAGAGATCAGCCCACTGCTGAGTGGTAGCGGAACAAGACACCAACCCAAGATACTGCAGGTTACATTTTGGGTGCCTCAGGACCTCACACAGTGCAGGAAGCGTATCACTCTGGGCACTGCCTCGAAGTCTTAGATGTGTTACCGTCTTGTGACCTTGAAGAGCTAGGCAGAGGTTCCGATAAGCATCAGCCGGGGAACCAGCCAGACCAGGCCTACCAAATACACTTTAAAGCTGGGTCAGATATTCAAATGTATCCTTAAGTTGGCAAGTAACAAATGAACAAAATTAGCAGGTGTAGAACAACAGACCTCTAATAAGGAAAGACAGCAGAATGAGTATATAGTGATCAACGACATCGGCTGTTCATCCCTGGAGTTGGAAGACAGCAGGGAGGAGAAGAGAAGGAAGAGCTGCAGAGTGCCCAGGCCTCATCAACACCCCTGCTCAAAATGGGCACCATCCTCGTCTGCATCCACTTCCTGGGCATTTGTTAGAAACGCAGTATCTAGGGCTCAACCCAAGAGACTCTGAATGTGAATCTGCGTTTAAACAAGTTTCCAAGCTGCCTGACAGGCCCTTAACATTTGGAGTAAGTGCTAGTCCCAAGGATCCCTTGGTAAAGATAGATCTCAGCCCCAGCTCATTGCTGCTGTGTAGGAAAGTGCTCCCCACATAATCAAATATTTCACTTTTTCAGGGGAATTTAGAGGTCAACGGAAAACCGCATATGGCATTCCTTGGTTTTCAAATATTGGACTTATTTTTGAGGAGTATGTATGCCAAATAGAATTCATATCTGGGCCTCATAGGATCTGCAGGTCCAGTGGTCTACATGTGCTTAGAGAAACAAGGCATGGAGCTCGGAACATGCTCCCATGAAACTGGCTTGCCTTAACTAAAATTTACCTCTGCCTTACTTGTTTTTCTCCTTTTATGGATAGGGAAACTGTAGCTCACAGAGAAGGAGCAGTAGCTCAAAGACACACAGCTGGTAAGAAACCAAACAGGGACTTTATCAAACTCCACAGCCTTGTACTCCAATGTCTTCCCATCCCCCATAGATTTGCTTTTGGATTTTATGGGTCAGTGCCCAGGGCATTGTGGATCTCTCCTAGGAGCTAAAGTCCTAGGATTCCCCCTGCTGCATCTCCAACAAATAGAGCAATGGTTAAATGTGGAAATTTCCTCTCTGTTCACAAAGTAGACGTTTAATTACCAGGAGCTTCTGTGTTCCCGCAGCAGGATGCATAAAATGAAGTAAAGCGTAATTGTGGCAGTGCGTCTGGTTCGGAAATTAAAACTCCAGCAAGGAAGGGCGTGCAGGGAGCCAGATGGTGTGGAGCATAAGGTGGCATGCCGTCAGCCATTTCCCCCTTGGGTGGATCTCATTGGGAGCTGATTTGTTGGAGGTTGGGCTGCCCCTTGGCCAGGCCTCCAGCTCTCTGTCTGGGGATTATCTGGTTGTTTTAACAAACACGCCTCCTCTAGCTGATTTCTTCCAGAGAGGCACAGACATGTTGTCAGTGGTTAGAGAGCAAAATAGCCAAATCTTCAGCAACTCCTGGAAAGTCTACAGAGTTCTGAAAAACAATAATTCTGTTTTTTTTTTTTTTTTTTTTTTTTTTTTTTTAACCTACGTGATGTGACATATGTAAGAATCCATCTGGGCCCTGGAAGAACGTTCAGAGTAAAGAGAGTGATCTGCCATGTGCCTTGTGCTTGTGAATTTGAAGCCCACGAACTTGCTTTTCTGTACCGGATAGTTTACTCTTAACCCCTCTGGACATTACAAAGTAACTTGAAAGAGTGGAAAAGAGGAGTATTATGGCACAGGGGCAGAGAAGTGCACCTCATCAAGCAGTTTCCAACAGCAGCTTCCCTCCAAGAATATTTGCCACCCTTACTCAGTTGTGTGGCTAACTCAGAGATGTTCCCGCTCCAAAGTTGCCTTCATCTTCCAATTTCTTTTTCCACCATTATTTATTCATGTATTCTTTTTTTTCTTTCAACAAGTATTTTTTCTTCTTTCCTTTTTTGAACTTTTATCATAGAATTGGGGTATGTGTGCAAGTTTGTTACAAAAGGTACATTGTCTGATGTTGATGTTTGGAGGTGGAGTACAAATGAATCCATCAGCAAGGCAGTGAGCACAGTACCAGATAGGTAGGTTTTTTTTCAACCCTTACTTTCTTCTCTCCCCCTCCACTCTAGTAGTCCCCAGTTTCTATTCTTTCCATTTTTATGACCATGTGTACTCAATATTTATCTTCCACTTATAAGTGAGACATCTGTTATGTATTTGGTTTTTGGTCTTGGCATTAGTTGGTTTAGGATCATGGTTTCCAGCTGTATCCATGTTGCTGCAAAGGACATGACTTTATTCTTTTTTATGGCTATGTAGTATTCCATAGTGTATATGTACCGTATTTCCCTAATTCATTCCATCATTGATGACACTTAGGTTGATTCCATGTCTTTGCTATTATGAAGAGCACTCCAATGAGTGTCAAAAAGACACAGTCTTTTTGGTAGAATGGTTTATGTTCCTTTGGGTATATTTCCTGTAGTGGAATTGTTGGTTGACTGTTGAATGATAGTTCAACTCTTAGTTCCTTGAGAAATCTCCAGACTGCTCTCCACACTGGCCTAACTAATCTACATTCCCACCAACAGTAGTATAAGCATGCTCTTTCTCCACAGCTTGGTCAACATCTGTTATTACTATTATTATTATTTTAACAAAAGCCATGCTGACTGGTGTGTCATGGCAGTTCCTCGTTGTCTTGATTTGCATTTCTCTGAGGATTAGAGATGAGGAGAATTTTTTGAATATGTTTGTTGGACACTTGTATGTCTTCTTTTGAGAAGCATCTGTTCATGTCCTTTGCCTACCTTTTTTTGGTCTCTTGTCTTCTCATTTCATTATTTCATTTCATTTTTATTTTTTGAGACAAGGCCTGGTTCTATAGCCCAGGCCGTAGTGCAGTTGTACAATATAGGTCACTGCAACCTCAGCCTCCTGGGTCAAGCTGTCCTCCCACCACAGCCTCCTGAGTAGCTGGGACTACAGATGCTCCATCACATCCTGCCAGATTTTTTTTTTTGTATTTATTTTGTAGAGATGGGGTTTCACCATACTACCTAGGCTGGTCTCCAACCTGTTAGATCAAGGGATGTGCCTGCCTCAGCAGGATTACACTTTGCCCACTTTTGAATGGGGCTGTCTTTTGCTTATTGAGTAGTTTAAGTTCCTTATGGGTCCTAGATATTAGATTCTTGTCAGATGATGCATAGTTTGCAAATATTTTCTCCCACTCTGTAGGTTGCCTGTTTGCTCTGTTGATAGTTCACTTCCTATGCAGAAGCTCTTTAGTTTAATTAGGTCACATTCGTCAACTTTTACTTCTCTTGCAATTACTTTTGAGGACTTAGCTATAAATGTTTTGCCAAGACCAATCTCTAGAAGAGTATTTCCTAGGCCGTCTTCTATGATTCTTATAATCTGAGGTCTTACATTTAAGTCTTTAATTCGTTTTTGGTTAACTTTGCATATGGTGATAGGTAGAGGTCTAGTTTCAGTCTTCTGTATATGGATAGCCACTTATCCCAGTGCCATTTACAGAACAGAGACTCCTTTCCCCATTGCTTATTTTTGTTGACTTTGCTGAAGATGAGATGGTTGTAGGTATAAGGGTTTATTTTTAGGTTCTCTATTCTGTTCCAAATATTTTGTTCCACATAAATATTTGTCTTTATGTTTCTGTTTCTGTACCAGTACCATGCTGTTTTAATTACTGCAGGCTTGTTGTATAAATCAGGTGACCTGATGCCTCTAGTTTTGTTCTTTTTGCTTAGAATTGTCTTGAGTATTTGGGTTCTTTTTTGGTTCCATATGAATTTTAGAATATTTTTCCCTAATTCTAGGAAAAATAATATTGGTAGTTTGATAGGAATAACATTGAATCTGTACATTGCTTTGGGCCGTATGGCCATTTTAATGATGTTGATTCTTCCAATTCATAAGCATAGGGTGCTTTTTCTTTTATTTTTGTCATACCTAATTTCTTTCAGCAGTATTTTGTAATTCTCCTTGCAGAGATATTTCACCTCCTTGGTTAGCTGTATTCCTAAGTATTCTTTTCTTTTTGTGGCAATTGTAAATTAGATTGCATTCTTGATTTTGCTCTCAGCTTGAATGTTTCTGGCGTATGGAAATTTGACTGGCTTTTGTGCGTTGATTTTGTGTCCTAAAACTTTACTGAAGTCATTTATTAGCTCTAGCAGTCTTTTGGTGGAATCTTTAGGGTTTTCTAGGTATAGAGCAATATCATCAGTGAAGAGAGTAAGCTTGAGTTCTTCTTTTCCATTTGGGTGTCTTTTATTTCTTTCTCTTGCCTGATTTCTCTGGCTGGGACTTTCAGTAACACATTGAATAACAGTGGTGATAGTGGGCATCCCTGTCTTCGACAAGTGTGTATTGAACAACTATTGTTTGCCAGTCACTATTCTGAATGCTGGAAATAGAGTAATGAATAAGATGAATGATAAACATATAAAGATATCAGTTAATTTTGGAAAATGAAAAATTTGGGGCAGGCGTGTGTAAACGCACACACACACTCACACACTCTTTTTAGAATCCTGAGACTGAGGCTAGAATCATTTATTTAATCCTGATTTATCTAATCCTTTATCTAATCCAGAATTCCTCATTCTAAGGAATCCTGGCATAAAGAGAAACATGGGATAGGAAACCCAACTCTAGTTAGGGTTACCAAGTGAGGCCTCTCTGAAGAGGGGACAGTTGAGTTGAAGTCTCAATGATGAGAAATCCAGACATGCAAAAAAAAAAAAATAAAGATCTGGAGGGAGGGAAATGTTTCATGAAGCAGGAAGATTCCTGATAAGAATCCAGATATGGGAATGACCTGTGTGTTCAGAAATAGAGGAGGCTTGCTAAGGAATGGAGGAGAAAAATAGAAGGTTAATTTGGAGAGGGTAGCAGGGGCTATATCCTATAGAACTTTGTGGACCAAGGTAAGGGTTTTCATATAATTGTAGTGAAGATGCACTCACAGATATCAATACATAATATAATTTGTGTTTTAAAAAATATCACTATTGAGTGGAGGATGATCTATAAAGCAGACAAGAATGGAGTCAGGAACAGCAGTTGGAAGGCTGCCTCAGAAGTCTAGACGAGAAGTTATG